ATGAGAGCAGGCGGGGGGGTGGGGTGGGGGAGGGCAGGGAAGGAGGAAGAGAGAGATGGACTTCTCTTATTAGGGAGTGGATGCAAAAACAGCCCCAGCAGCCCCAGGGCGCCTGAGCTGCCCGGCCTGGGCACAACCCCGGATGGGCTTCAGCAAGCATGAGGCTTGCCCCCCCCTCCACCCTTCCCCAAAAGGGGTAACTTCTTCTTGAGACCCTCGAGCTGAGCGTTCTGCAAGAATGCCCAGGGGCACATGGGAGTTGTAGTCCCCAAACCCAGAAGGCACCACAGGTGGGCAGGAGGGAGGATTCCTATCTCTGGTGTTTTAAATTTGCAGATTGCTTCCCAATTTGGATTGAATGTGCTTCTGGATTTAAACATTCAAATGTGGAAGATGAGGAATCTGACTGACCCAGCCATCCAGGCCAAGGACTTAAAACGTTTAACCTCTGTAAGTCTGGTTTTGAATCTCAGAATTAAGGTAATCATCATCAAGTGCCAGCAAGTCAATTGTGACCCTTTCCAGGGTTCTCCAGGTAGAGAATAAACCAAAGTGCTCTTCCCCATCCTTTCCTCTAGGGGCGCTGTGGGACCGCAGCTCACCCAAGGCCACCCAGGCTGGCTCTTCTTGCGGGAGGAATCGAACTCCAGACCTCTGACTCCACAGGAACCAGATAGCCAGATGTTTAAGTCACTGAGCTATCTAGCCAGCTAGAATTAAGGTGGCCACCTCCCCACTCCCTTTTTGGAAAGACTCTCCATCTTAATCATCTACGTAGTAGGTAGTCTCTGGGCCAGGAAGAGCAGTCCCTGTAGAATTCGCTCAGGACAAGCGAAACACAACTTCATTTTTCTTATTTCTTACTGACACATGCCATTTTGTTTCAGATTTAGGATTGATCCAATGTGTGTGTGTGGGGGAGGGGGGTTTGTGACAGTGGCTGCTATCACCCCATCCCTGCTATCAGGTTGGTGATCTGCATATTACAAAGCAAAGGTGGGTGCTTAAAGCGGAGTCTTGGCTGCAGGACTGCAGTTTAGCCACTGCAGCATTGAGGCTATTCTGCCTGTGAGCAGAGGAGGGAGGGTGGGTAGATGTAGGGGGGGAGAGAGAGCGCGGGAGGCCTACGTTTTGCCCGATGGGTATGGAAAGTGGTCGCAAGACCAGTTAGGTGGGATAGAAATCAAATAAATAAATAAATAAATGAAAGGACAGGAGGCACCGAGGCGCGCTGGAATGTGAAAGGCTAGCTGGTGGGCAAGGGGGCAAGCGGGAGGGCCGACTCACCAGGAAGGAGCACAGAAAGATGAAGGAGACGAAGTAGAAATAGGCAAAGTCGCTGCCACACTCATTCTTGCTGAGGTTGGACAGCTCGTCGCAGGCTTGGTGGCTGAGGCACGCCAGCATGATCTCGTGCCAGGCTTCTCCAGTGGCGCTCCTGCAAGCAGACAAAGAGGAGAACACAGGGAGACGGCTGATCGCCGGCCGGCCAGGGCCGTGAACCTCGGTCGACCTTTCAGGCAGGGATTCCTTCCTAGCATGACCGGGAGATGCTGGCAAACAAACAGCCTCTTCAGCGAGACCCGTCGGATAATGGCAGCTTTCAAGTCTTGTTTTGGGGTTTGGGGTTGTTCTTTTTTTGGGGGGACTTGTTCAATCCTAATATAAAAAACTGCTTAGCTCCCTTGTCCTGGTCATAGGTTCTCCTTGGTAAATCCCCCCCTTTTTAAAAAGCATGAAATGTATTGTTCTGATGAAAACTGTGATGAAAATTAAATGCACTGCACTGTAACGTGATATATTGCAGTTATGCTCCTAAGCCTAAGAAAGGGAAAAATGTTGCCCCACAAGAAAATCCTGGGAAATTGGGAGTCGTTGCTCACAGGCAGAACGTCCACGCCGGCAGGCAGGTTCCTCCCGAGGGCGCCAACATTGAGAAGGCACCAAAATCTAGAGGTGAATCAAGAGCAGGGGCTCCCAACCTTGGGGCCCCCGGCTGTTCTTGGACTACAACTCCCAGAAGCCACTCCCAGAAGCCTTCATTGACAGCCGGGCTGGCCAGGATTTCTGAGAGGAAGATCGGAGGATCCCAGGCAGGGAAGCTTTAGAGCGTCGGGCGAATTTTAGGGAACTGGACTGCAAACCCACATATCCCCAACCCTACTGGCGGCACCCCTAAGGGTTCCCCCTTTCCTTGGGTGGTGGTGAACCTACGCGTGCTCAGGGTGCTTTCTGGCTGGACAGAGGAGCTCTGCTCTCTTCACCTCAAAGAGGTCTGTGGGTTTTGTCACATCAAGGAGGACGGGGAGACCCACACCCCTCACAAAGCTGGCCGGGGAGGGACATCATCTCTCCAGGAAAAACAGGGAAGACTCGGTGAAACGAAGTTAGCTTTTGGGCGTGCTGCAGCAGCCAGCGTCAATCAACACCGACTGGGGAGGATTAATAGCCACTAATGGCAAAGTGCTAATGAACACAAGCTGTCTGGACGCAGCCCTGTGCAAACAATCTGTCTATATTAATGTCAGCCCAGGAGGAGGGGGGCGCTCGAGTCAAGGGCGAGCTTGGGGCTGATTAACATAAATTGAGCATGAGAAGACATGATGCTCAGAGGCTTCCTCTCCCCCAACCCAACCCCGAGAAACACAAGGACACCTCTGCTCGCTCCGGCCAGGACCCGGCCCTCCCCCAGTCAATTCTTCCTTTGCGTGTGGCTCTGAAGAGCATCCAACGTCCTGACATGGTTCTTCCATTTAGAAGATCAAGAGGATTAAAGGGCAGACCTTCGCCGCCGCCCCCTCCGTCCCCGTTTAATGTAAAGCAGAGGCATAGCATCCCCAGGAAGAGGGTGGGAAAGTCAACAGCCCCACATGAGAAAACGCCCACAAGGTGGCCTTGATGGAGGCTGCAAAGTCAGCCAAGGAGGAACAAGTCGCGTCAAATCAAATCAAAACACCCACGCTCCTGTCGCGGAGGATCATGTCAAATTGGGGGGGGGGGAGGCACTTCAAGACCGGAGTGGATTTCTCCACCCACCAGGGAGTTTTCCGTGTTCTCTCCTGGGTTTCTCTGCAATCTCGGCTTCCCCCAACCCACAATTATTAAAGAGACAAAGATCCCCTTTCCGAATGCTTCTCCCAACTCTTAAGGAGACAAGGCAGCGCAAGAGAGTGGTGGGAAAGGGGAAGCGTTCCCAAGACTTCCAAACTCTTCCCAAGACTTCCAAAGCGTTGATGCCTCCTGGCTTTCATGGCAAAACTCAGAACAAGGACCCTGAACCGAAACACACAGGAAAACCTCCAATGCCTCTTGCTGTTGTTGGACTGGCACCAAAGAGTGGGTCGTTTGTGTTTTTCTGATCAATCAGCCTCTGCTGTTATGCTTGTTTTGTGTGTGAGTGTGTGCGTGCGTGTGCCCAATTAGAGGAACAAACCACTAGTTTTCCCTGGAGATGTTCTGTTGACCATTGTGTAAAACCTGATTGGGGAGGAGAATGCTTAGGCCTGAACCTCACTGGGGGAGGTGGGGGTCCCAGTTAGAGAACACCCACTGAATCGGTGGGATCTGCTTGAGCACTGGGGAGCCCCTTAGCCATTGACTGAATGCGTCTGCTTGAGTTCAGGAGGGAGGGTTGGAGAAGTCCCGCCATATGGCCTTTTCTTAACCAAAATCTTGTCACTGGTGAGATTGCTGCACTTCACGGTTATTTGATTTGGTCCCCCCCCCCAAAATGTATTGAGATTGTATTCTTTTGTTATTGTGCTGCTTGTCTATTGCTGTAAACCGCCCAGGGTGGCCCCAGCTGCCAGATGGGCGGCATAGAAATCAAATAAGGAAATAAACCTTTTCCCACAGCTCTAATAAGGAATCAGCCCGTGTCCTTGCTGTTATCGCCACACCTCCCAGGGCTCCCTTTGGCTACATGCTAAATCCGGTGCATCACCAGACCCGTTTTGAAAGGCTGCTGGGCACCACTTTCAATTACAAATGTATTTTTATTCTGGAGCAGCTGGAAATCCGCTTCTTTCTGCTTGTTGATTCCTCACAAAGGCTGAACCGTGAAGCCTGCTGCCTCAGAGTGGCATGGCTGTGGGACCCACGTGGCCTGCACCGAACCACCAACCTATTCTGCTTCAGCAGGATGAGACAACGTAGGGGACCCAAAAGTTGCTGGACTTCAGCCCTCATGGTCCCTCACCCTCAGCACCATCTAACCCATCTGGAAGGCGACCATTTCATCAGCTCTGGGCTTCCTTTCAGGCCAAGTCCCAGTGGAAGTCAGCAACTCCAGTTTTGCAGGGGTGGCCCTTTTCCTGCTGGGTTTTAGTCTGAACTTTATGAAAGTTGATCAAAGCTCTCAACGCTAGACACAAAGGGCTGGATGTAGCCGTTGCTGTGAAATTCCAAAGGGAGCAAAGTTTTGCTTTACAAATGTGGATTTTTGGGGGGTGGGTGGGAAGGCAGGTAACATTTCCAAAATGTGCATTTCCCCCCTCTTTTGAATGGAAGTGTACATGAAGTTTGGAAGATCAAAATATGAGGGAAAGTGAAAGAGGCAGGATGCACGCACATCCCTGTATTGNAAGAGATCTATTTTCCACCTAGAGAGAGGTGGTGTTTCATTTACCGGAACAGCAGCATCAAGGCTTGCAAAAAGGTCTGGAAATTATTGTGTCGATTGATGGCGGTGTCATCGTTCAGGGCAATGTTCCCAAAGACCTGGGAGGGAGAGAAGAGAGCAAGGGAGGTTAGAACAGGAGCGTCTGTTACTCGTGATGAGCCAAACACAGGCGAGGGGCCAACAGCCTTGACTGCTGCTCAGTGGCAAGCTAGGCACTGAATACATCGACGGACTAGCCCTCCCTTGAATAGGTGGGACTACAACTCCCATGATGCTTGGAGAAGAAGGACTCATCGGCTCTGAATCCGTGGCTTAGATCCAGAACTTGGAAAAGTTCCTTTTTTAAAAAAATTAGAAAAATAATACAGCACACATGATTTCCCAGCAATAGTGGAAATGAGGAAAGAAAGGGACAAACGTGTCTCTATAACATAATCAGCAATATACATACGAAGGATGCACAGAGGGAATTAAAGGGAGAACAAAGAAGATACTATTATTTGGCCATGCACAAGACCTACTCTGGAAATGATGATATATGTGTCGCAGATGATATGCTACCTAGGGTAAGCGACACAGAAATAGATATTATACAAATATCTGATCATGCAAAAGTTACCCTATTTTTCAATGTATAAGACGCCCCCTCCACTTTTCTAACCCAAAATTAATAAACCTAAGTGGGGCTTAACAAATGTAGGGGGAAAGGGATCAAAGCGCTGCAGGATGGCTTTGATCCCTGCTTTCTCCCTTTGTGCTAAGCCCCGCGGGGCTTAGCAAAAGGAGGGGGAAAGGGATCAAAGCAATTCCACAATTGCACAATCATTTTGTTCCCTTTCCCTCTTATACAGCCACAGGATTGCTTTGATCCTTCCCCCTTCTTTTGCTAAGCCCCATGGGACTTAGCAAGCAGAGGGGAAAGCAGGGATCAAAACGATTCTGCAGCACTTTGATCCCTGCATTCCTTTTGCTAAGACTTAGCAAGTGGAAGGGAAAGCAAGGATCAAAGCCCTGGAGGATCACTTTGATCCCTGCTTTCCCTCCACTTGTTTTTTTTCCTCTTCAGCTTACTTCCGTGTATAAGACAACCCTCAATTTTTAGTCTAAAGATTTTAGACAAAAGTATAGTCTTATACACAGAAAAATACAGTTATATGGAGTTTAATATAAACTGTGACTACAAAGAAGCAAAAAGATGGCGGATGGATACCAATATATTTAGACTAAAGATGGTAATTGAAAACATGAAAAGAATTTAGAAGACACGTGGAAAATTAATGAGGAAGAAGGTCAGATGGGACTAATATGGGATAGTATGATGTCTCTAACACGAGTATTGAATATGAAAGAATCTTATAATTTAAGGAAGCAGCAAGGAGAAATGAGTACAAAGAGGAAAGTATAAATGAATTAGAACGTCTCTTTACAATATCTAGAGAATGAGGGAATTGCAAACTAAAAAGAAAGAGTTAAAAGGTATTCAATCAGAAAGAGTTCAAAGAAACTTAATATATCTGAAAGGAAAGTATTTTGATTTAAGTAATAAGAACTCTAAGTAGCTAATAAGACTCACTCAGATGAAAAAAGCAAAAAAAAAAAAAAAAAACCAACCCACAATAGGATTGATTGAAAATGTTAAGGATAATAGATGTAATAAAATGCAAGAGAACGTTGAGGCCTTTCAAGAATTTTGTAAAGAATTATATACTAGTAAGAAGGAATCTATAGATAAAATTAATGAACATGACATAACTGAGGAGAAAACAGATGAGAGAATACATAAACTTCAAATATGTAGGACGCTAGGATCAGAAGGATTCGGCCCAGGATATTATAAGGCATTTAAAAATCTCCTCTTCCCCAAATTGAAGGATTTGTTTAATAGAATATTAATGGGAGAAGAAATCCCAAGATCTTGGAAACATTCCATGATAGTGTTAATTTTGAAACCCAATGAGGACACAATGAATATGGGATAACATAGATCAATGTCACTGATTAACCAGGGTTCTAAAATATTTACAGCTAAAAGATGGAATGGTTTTATTGACGAATATATTGGTAAAGATCAAAATGGATTTCTAAAGGACAAACAAATGAGGAATTTAATGAGAAGGGTATAAAATGTAATCAATACTATTAAAGAGACAAAGAAATACCAGGGATACGGTTGCTCGATATTTTCAAGGCCCTTGACTCGGTGGAATGGTCAGCCTTAGAAATATTAATAAAAGAATTAGGTTTTGATGCACGTTTTAGAAATATCATTCAGTAACTATATTCAGAGAATACTGCCACAGTTTTAGTAAATGGTGGTATGACAGAAACAATTACATTAGGCCGGGCAGCAAGACAAGAATGACCCCTATCTCCAATACTATCTACTTTGATAATAGAATTATTAGCAAATACTATTAGAGAAGATGCCAAGATAAAAGGATTAGGGAATAAAAATAAAATCAAGATAAACTTATTTATAGATGACATGTTACTAACAGCTGAAGATCCTATGACTTCTATAGAAAAGTTTAAATGGCATTTAGAAGTTTTTGAAGAAGTAAGGAGACTAAGGGTAAATTGCAGTAAATCAGAATTTATGTTAGCAAATTATGATAATGAAGAAACGAGTAAATTGAAAAAGAAGTTTTAGGGCAAGTTAAAAACAGTATTAGATATCTAGGGATAAATATTACTTGGAACTTGCAAGAAATGGTTAAAATGAATTTGGAAAAAAGTGAAAAAACAAATTAAGGAAAAGTTGAGGTTATCTTGGTTTGGAAGAACTGCAGTAGTAAAAACGAAGATAATCCCTAAATTAAATTTTGTATTTTGGATGTTACCTATAAAGAACTGCAAAATGTGATTAACTTATAGTGAAAATAAAAGAGCAAAGATAAATTTAAAAAATTATGGTATCTTCCTCAAAAGAATGGAGATTTGGGTATACTTGACATTACATTATATTATATAGCTAACAATTCAGATATACATCAGAAATTATAGTAAACAATAAGGGAATAATATGGAGCGAACTTGAGTTTTACAAGACTAAGGAAAATATGGAGAATTTTTTAAAAGGGAAATTTAAAGGATATTATTAAAAACATTGATAACCCATTTTTAAATAATATGTTGCAATCTTGGAAGACGTATAAGAGAATATTGAGTCCAAAGATTTCCTCATTGACCCGCAGTTTTCCAGACAACCTGAAGAAGAAATTATACAAGGTTATAAAAATTAAAGACTGGAATAAGATGATGTATAATTTAGAGAGAATAAAAGAGATATTAGGAAGAAAATGAATTACTTGGTTCAGTGTAAGACAGATAACTGGACCAAGGAATTGGTGGAGGGGGAGGAAGGAGAATGTAGGGGGGCTGACTAAATTTGAAGAAATTATCGAAAAGAGGGAAGAGATGGGTAATGAGAAGGGATAATAAGTGTAATATATAAGATGTTAATAGAGAGTGAATAGATGTATAACAATGGCTTTGAAAGAGATATGGCAAGGAGAATTCAATAAAGAAATCAGAAAAAGAATAATGAAAAATATGTCAGTTAGGGTAAAGGAAAATGGTTATAAAGTAATATGGAGACAGTATTTAACGCCAATGAAATTGAATACATTGAATAAAAAGTTATTGTATGTATATCGGAGATATAAAAAAAGAAAGAACATACTACCATATGTGGTGAGCATGTGAAGAGAGACGAAAGGAAGGGGTGATTGTATTTAATGAGATTAAAGAAATTCTAGGAGCAGATATACAAAGATGTACAATCTTAGCATTGTGCAAGATATTTGGAAACTGTCAATTAGATAGAGGAGAAAAGGAACTAATTGTTCATATGTTAAGAGCAGCTAGATTGGTGTTTGCAAGGAATTGGAAATATAATAATCAATTGATGTTGGAAGAACGGTATAATGAACTGTGGAATCCAGCTATTAATGGTATAAAGAAACTTGTGAACTGGAAGTTAGAAAAGCATCACTGAAAGACAACAGTTTTTAAGGGATCTGTAACACTTATACAGAATATGCATTTATAAAATATATGTTTATGTTGTAAACCGCCAAGAGTCGTGTGGAATCCAGCTATTAACGGTAAAGAAACCTGTGAACTGAAAGTTACAAAAGGATCAATGAAAGACAACAGTTTTAAAGGGATCTGGAACACATACAGAATATGTATTTATAAAATATGTTTATGTTGTAAACCGCCAAGAGTCGTGGCATGCCACTAAAGGGGCAGTATGAAAATCTCATCAATCGATCAATCAATCCATCAATCCATCTGCAGAAACATTGTTGCTGGGTCACCAGGAGGGCTCGAAGCATCTCTCAGTGCCACCAGGGAGCAAGAGGAAAAAGGCGCTTTGGTCCTGAGGACAAGACAAGCGAGAGCTCATCTCCCGAGTGGTCCCTAACTTTGAAAACTTACCTGCATGCCAATAATCGCATAGATGAAGAACAGCATGGCGATCAGGAGACACACATACGGCAAGGCCTGTGGGAGAAGGGGAAGGAAAGGAGCCGTGTTGGCAAGGGTGCACACAACCACATCTTCAAAGAGGATCCAGGGCGTATACACACACACCGCTAGGCACATCGGCATTAAGACCCTTTCTGGAATCAGTTGCAGAAATGCTCCGGCTAATCCGCAGCCGGTGCAATGAGTGGGGGTGGGTGGGAGGTGGGTTGGTGAGTGTCATGAGTGCAGCCGAAGATCTGGAGCCCAAAGGGTTAACTGTAGCTGAGGAGAATGCTGAGCAATCAGAAATACAAACACCTGAATCGTCTCCAGATTCTCCTCCCCCAGTAGACAGGCTTTGGGGAAAGACTTATGACAAAATGGTCAGAGGAAGGCTGCCCGCAGAAACATCCAATCAACTAGCCCTGAGTTCTGACAGGATGAAAAGTCTTCCAGCAGTCCAAGGGCCTGTTTTACTATATAAACAGCTCTCAGACGGCTGAAAATTTGTGGAAGCAACAAGTCAAACCTCTGGCTTGCATCCACGCTCCTGACAACCTTGAATCGTGTTCTCTGGACTCTTGGCTTTGGACTCTGACCCTGGACTACGTTGTGTGAGTTGGCTTTGGTATTTGGATATTGGCTCTGCATTCCCTGAATTCCTGACATAGGACTGGTTTATCGGACTCTGCTGTTGTAACCCCCGGGAACGTGACAGTGAGGGCACAGCTGTTAGCCAGTAGGCCACCCTGTGTTCCTGCTATCGGTGAGATACGTGCCTTGGGAATCAATCTTGCCAGCCCTCACTTTGCGAGTCTCATTCTTTGAAGGGAATACAATGCAATGTATTCAATTTTACTGTCAGGTTGGACAGAACTTTGAGCTTCTTCGCTTTGCATGTAACTTGGATTATACCTTGAGGACCTTACGGCTCCCACTTTGTGTGTGTGTGTGTGTGTGTGTGTGTGTGTGTGTGTGTGTGTGTGTGTGTGTGTGTGTGTGTGTGTGTGTGTGTGTGTGTGTGTTTTGGATGCACAGCTGTGTTCACGCCCTTTCCAAAACCACCTGATGCAAGGTAACACCTGCTGACTGGGATGAAACGGGGATGAAGCTCCCCACCGGGCTTTCACCTCACCTTAAACGACTGGACGAAGGTCCAGAGCAGGATGCGGATGGTGTAGCCCTGGCGGAGCAGCTTGATGAGTCTTGCGGCCCGGAAGAGTCGGAGGAAGCTGAGGTTGATGAAGTTGTCCTGCAGAGAGGGAGGGAGAAGGGGGTTTGTGCCCTTCAAAAGACACAGAGAGAACCGGCAGCCGCAGCCCACAAAAAAAGAAAACGAAACCCCCGGCTTCGCGTTCTAAGCAGCCAATCGCCCACCAGAACACCTTCCAAAAGAAACAGTTGTCAATGCAGGTCACTCCACATGCCAGCCAGGTTGAGAAAACCCCTCTCCGCAAGAGTCCCGCCGTCAGCGACAGGGCAGGGGAGAGAAAGCCCACCTCTCCGGCGGATTCCTGTTTGCCTTCCGTGTTAAGGAAGGGAGCAAGGAGCAATCTTTCCAACCACAGAACGCAGCCCATCGCTTAACGTCATTCCGAGGGCAGATCTGTAAAACGGGGCCCACGGAAGGGCACCAAGAGCTTCCGCTGTGGAAAAGGGGTGGATCAAGCCCCTTGCCTCAAGCGCTTGCATCCACTTGGGGAGAGCAAGGCTGGTGTCAGAGAAGGCTTTCCTGCAAGCACGGAGGGAGTTGGGAAGGCAGGCCCCAGCCCGAGAAGCCGGACAGCTGCAGACTTTCTCTGGGGCGAAGGGGGAAGACGCAGCGCCTCTCCACAGGGTTCCGAGCCTCAGTGTGAGACTAGACGGGAAAATACGTTGCGATCCACGCTGGAAATGGCCCCGGGTGAATTTGAAGGATTTTTCAAGGGTCACCTGACACAAAGGTCAAGGCAAATCGATGTGTCTTCCTCTGGGCCCTGCGCCCCCCAATCTTGAATTGGATTGAAATGAGGGGCCTGGACGCCTCTGGACCAAAACAAGCCTGGGTTTTTTGTATGATCAACTAAACCAGTGGTTCCCCATCTGGGGTCCCCAGAAGTTCTTGGATTGCAACTCCCAAGAGTCCTGGCCTGCACAGCTTCTGGGAGTCGCAGTCCAAGAACATCTGGGGACCCCAGGTGGGGAACCGCTGACCTACGCCGAATGAAGTGGCCAAAGAGGCCGAGAATGAAGCCGACACAAAGCCCAGTCACTCGGACTGGGTTTGCCAATGGAGCGGGCAAGTTAGTCTGACCCTTACAGGAGCCTTCTGAGGTTGTGCCTCCAAAACAGGCTTAGCCAGTTGTCTATATTCTCTAAGCCTGACCTCATAAAGCACATGGCCTCTAAGCACATTCCAGCAAATGAAACTGCACTGTCCCGGAAGACCTTCTCCATTAAGGCACAGAATTCAGGAAAGCAGGACCTTGCCTTATAGTGAGGATCCATCTAGCCTAATATCACCAACTCTGACTGGCAGCAGATGTCTATGGTTTTTAGGAAGGATTCCCCCCCCCCATTCCCACATGGACATCCCTGGACAGGGAGATAAGCAGTGGAAAGCCATGGGCTGGAGCCTGTGTTCCCAGATCTCTCCTTACTTACAGGAATATCCTTCTCCCTTAATGCCTGGATAGAAATGAGGGGCAAGACTCCCTGGGAGTCAAAATTGAGTCCAACGTGGGTTTGGGACCACCACTGGGAAATCAGCTTGGGTCACACAGGAATCCCGCTTAGAGGAGGTGGCGAATGTCTTCTCCCTTTTGGAGGGAATCGGGTTTCAACAGCGGCGTGTCTGGTCCGTCCCCTTTGAAGGCAGCTCAACCTCACAGGAGAGACGAGCTTTGCCTACTTTCCTGGGTGCCTTCTTTCCTCCGTGAGCTCTGCGTTTTATCCTCCTGATCCAAAGCAGGCCATCCCAACTTCTCGCCTGAGGAAAACGCTACGAGGGAGGCCCTCCCCCACTCCACCCTTGCTTCTCGAGATTCAACCGTTCCTTGGTTCATTTGGACGCCAATTGACCTGCACAGGAATGACCCAATTCCGGGGCGCTTCCTTTCTCAAAAGTCCCATGTCAGCTTTGGGCTTCCTCTAGAGCAGAGGGGAGGTAGAGAGGGGCCTTGTACAGAAAGCTCAGCCGGTCCAGGCCTTGCACTGACCCTCCACCCCACCTCTGATGGACCGGATCGCCAGCCAAGACCAGAGCCACCCCTTCCCACCACCAGCGCCCGGCTGGTCCCGAGGAGGGCGTGAGACTCAAGGCGGTGTCCCGCCTGCTTATTCAGCCCGCCAACCCTTGTGCCCGCAGCACAGCATTCTGCCAAGATAGTCAAGACACAAGAAAACCAGCCGCCGACATGCAGGGGGCACGGCTGGCGCGTCAGAACTCAAAAGAGGCAAGCAGCTCAGAGTCGGGCGGACGCACCACCTAGCGTCAGACCTACTTCCTCAGAACCACGAAGGGAAAAAAAGAGGAGAGATGCCTGCTGGACGAGGACACGGCAGCCAGCAAACTCACCCCAAGGCAATGCCACAAGCAGAAATTCTCCAGGGCTGCTTCAGGGTGGGTGAGGGACGCCCTACCGTGGAGCCCCACTGCCTGCCGCTCCTTCGTTTCCATGGGCATGCTTCTTATACAGCAAGGGGAGAGGGGTGTTGGACTACAACTCCCATCAGCCCTAATTACTAGCCATGTTGGCTCATGGGAGTTTGAGTCCAAAAGTTCCCGGAAGGGCCGTAGGTTCCCCTTCTACAGAGGCTCCAAGTGCCCAACGGAATCAAGAGTCTGCAAAAAACGATCATTTCAGCAAATGCCTCCGCTCCTCCTTTTTAAAAAACGGTTGCCCGTGATTCAGAAGCAAAAAGGTTTCAATCTGAATTTGGAGACAGCAGGAAAGAGAGGAGAGAGTCGTATATTGTGGACCGGTCTCTACTTGGACCTCTGCCTCTCAAAGCCCGCTTTCTATTAATGGATCTCATCATCATCATCATCAGATCAGAAGCGGCCACCGCTGAGGGAGGGAGGGAGGCTGGTTCCCAGGCGTCAGCCTGCACAGCAATCCCCCTGGGGTTCACGTCATGGCATGGCCCCACTGGGGGAGACCACGAGGGAGTGTGTGCAAGAAATAAAGGGGGGAAAGAGAGAAAACCTTAACGGATCTTGCCGGAGCAAAAGCTTCTGAAAACGGTACTTAAAGCCCAGCGCAAGAAGGAACGACTGGGGCGAAACCAATATCCACTGTTTTTGTCGTTCGTCAAACTGACAACCTATGCTTCATGATTCAAGGTGAATTCCTCCTATATTTAAAGATTAATCGTGTGAAGAAGCATGACGGGAGGAGGAGGAGGAGGAGGAAGCTGATATAAAATACAGCCTTTCTCGGCAGGAGAGCATTTAAGCACTGTTGGAGATTCTGTGGGTTACAGAACCCCCCACCCCTGACCCAAACACAGCCCTGTTCCTTTCCACAGTAAGCCGTCCCTTCTCACGTGTGGCACCAAAAACTGGGGACAAGCAGCAGCCCTAGAAAATCGGCCTCGACCAACGCTAGCAAGCGCTCAAGCCTGAACTCTCGGGCAAGCAAGAGGAACAGCCCGCAGGGAGTCGGGAAATCTGCCCGATCCGCCCAGCTCCTCCTGGATTTGCCAAAGGGTGTTGCCAGCATGCGCGGAGGGGAGGAGCTCAGCACATCTGTATTCCTGGCATTCAACCCGCATTCACGATGGCCTTCATTGGTGCTTAGTGATACCTGAAGCTCTACCTGACGGTTGCATGCAAAACATGTCCTCTGAGCTTCCCCCAGAGAGTGAGGCTGCCAAACGGGTGTTTTAGTATAGCCCAAATTCCACGCAGCAGCGCCGGTGGGAGGCCACCCCGTTTCTTCTCTTGCCCCAGTCCCTGCCACCACGTGTGTGTGCGTGCACTTATTCCACAATACAGATGTGAGCTTCCCTCCTCCCAGTCGCCAGACGACAAGGCGTTGAAAAGATTACTGGTAACGGTGGGTTTACATCCAATTACTAAGTAGCCGACAGAAAGATGATGGGGCAAAGCAAGTCCATTTACAAGCCAGAGTGCAGCGAGACAGAAAGGGAAGCGTTGGGTTTCCACACCGGCGCAGTCAGAAATCTCAAACAAGGGTAAACGAGGAGTGAAGCAAAACAGAAGCCAAGGGGCGAGAGGGGAGAAAATCCAATAAAAAGCCAGAATTTAAAGAGAGAAAGAGAGAGATTTGGGAGAGGGGAAAAATTCAATGAAACCAACCGTGTCCTACACGTGATGTTTTCATGGATGAATATTTGCAAGGTTATTTAAAAGATTTATATATATATATATATATATATATTTATATTGAGTTTAGATAATTTGGTTTGGTTTGGTTTTTGAGCAGCAGGCAGGCAACACAGAGACGGAGACATGGTGTTTTTTTTCACATTGTATGTTGATTGGATGGCGTGATTCAGCAGGAAGGGAAAGGGAGAAAAAAACAGAAACAGAAAACAAAAAAAGAGAGAAAATGAGTTATCAAGACGAGCAAAGAACAGAAGCACTAAAAATTAGATAATTTGGTTTGGTTTGGTTTTTGAGCAGCAGGCAGGCAACACAGAGACGGAGACATGGTGTTTTTTTTCACATTGTATGTTGATTGGATGGCGTGATTCAGCAGGAAGGGAAAGGGAGAAAAAAACAGAAACAGAAAACAAAAAAAGAGAGAAAATGAGTTATCAAGACGAGCAAAGAACAGAAGCACTAAAAATTATACTGGGGGAAAAATCAGATGCATATTTGAAAAGTCACTTTTTCTAACAGTGATCAAACCTAGAGAGAAACACAGAGCAATCAAAGATTTGCATTTCTAATTGTAATGCAAATTAAGAGACACTTCACAAAAACACCTTTATCTATCTTTTTTTTCTTTTTCATTCCCAGGCAAAGCCAGATATGTCAGTTTCAGAATTTGTACTGAGAGAGAGAGAGAGAGAGATCCTGTCAGGAGCATTTTCCCACAAGCGCCAGATGGTGTAACTGGGAATGGAGGAGGTGAGGGTCTCCTACTCTCCGTTCTGACGCATTCACAACACACACTTAAGGAACAAGTGAGTAACTGACATCTGAAAGAGACTTTAATTCAGTTACTTGGTGTGAGACCCCAAAGGGTAGGGGAAAAAGAGAGAAGTAGAGACATCAAGACCTAAACATTTTTGTCAAGGCAATTTATCCTGTGCTTTCAATTGATTTATTTAATTTTCAGTGCAGTGGAAATTTAGTCATTGGTGTCTCTTTCTGGACACTGAAGAAGGTATGAGAGAACATTCCAGTGGTTGAGAGATGAAACATTTGTCTTAAATATTTTTTTGGCACCACACACACTGCCCCCCCATGACAGGAACACCCCAAGGGCGCCTGCAACGTCTTGAGTGGTTCAAATTTCTCCCCGTCAATTTACCGTATTTTTCGCACCATAAGACGCACTTTTTTCCCACAAAACAGGGGGGGAAGTCCGTGCGTCTTATGGAGCGAAGAAAACAGATTATATTTTCCTGTTTTCTTCTCCTAAAAAATTGGTGCGTCTTATGGAGCGAAAAATACGGGGTAAATTTACTTCAGCTTATTAACCAGCTGAAGATTGAATGGCTGAATCCTACTGATTAAATGACCAGCCTAGATATGAGTGCCCTAAAAATCCGCTTCAGAGGAAAACTGACAGGCTCAGGTTTTGCCTGGAGAAATATAAAAAGAAAAGAAGAGGGAAGTCCCAAGCATTCGCCAAAGGGGGACGACACACAACACAAGTATGGCATCAAACAAAAGCCAAAATATCAACACTTCTGTTTTTGGTACGTCTGCTTCTTCACAGCCCATCTGGCTGCTGAGGCAACGGGGGGGGGGAGAAGAGACCTGTGGCTCAGGCAAGCGGCCCTCCTGGATTCAAGGAGAGACCGTTTCCTTCCTCCGCAGCAAAAGGAGTGCGGAGGGACACGCAGGGTTTGGCAGATCAACCCAAGAGACGAGCACGCTCCATCTTCCGGGAGCTGGCTCATCTCCTCTTGGCCCAGAAGGATGTCACCGAGCACTGAAAGCAAAACACGCTGGCTCCCTACGAGGAGAAGGTGCATCCTCCCAGTTGCCGAGATGCGCCGCTCGGATTCAGACCCGCACCCCTTTGCCGCTTTGCTCACAGATCTTTCCCACGAAAGGCCAAAGATGTACCAATGGAAAACAAAAAAAAAGCACACAGGGTCACCACAAAGGACTGAGAGTGTCTGTGGTTCTATGGACAAACAGACCCGTTTCAAATATAAGACGTGGTGGAGGGCTCATTGTTCAAGGTCCCACTTCACATTGTTCAACTAAAAAAGGGACGGCAAGCACCTGGGAGGTCCTGGAGGGCCACACGGAGGGGCTGGCCACCCAAGACTACCTTAGGGCCTCCTCAGCCACCATCATGGCTTCTCTTTGAGATGCACAAGGGCCCGGAGATGCTCAACGTTGATGCGCCAGAGCACTCGGCTTACACCCCCATCTATGCTCTGGCACATCATGGGAGCCCACGGACGGGATGTCTTCGGAAAGATTCCCTGCCCCAACCCTGGGAACCCCTTCAGAACTTCTTTCTTTCTCAGGTTGCGTAGTGGCGTTAGTCTTTTGGTTCAGTGTATGAATTTGGAAAAAAGACTGGGGTTGCGTGACACTGCTGAAAATAGATTTATCATAAAGAGGAGAACGAACAATAGGAAAGGGTAAATAACTGTAACAAAACACAAGCACACATGCACACATGCACACACACACACACATGTTTGCACACACACACACACACACTTGATAGTCTCAAAGAAGAGGCAACCAGTGGAGACTGATGACTTCGGCATCAGCGGAGCAGGTTTTATCCTGAACTTTAAACCACAGTTAATCATATAATGGCAGAGTTGGAAGAGGGTGTTTAAGACCATATATAAGTTCAACCCCTGCTCAGTGCAGGAATACAAATGCAAGCAGACCTGACAGATGGTTGTCTGTTGTTATCTTGAAGGCCTCCAGTGGTGGAGTGCTCCCCACTTCTCGAGGTCATGGGTCCCATCATCGCACTGCTCTAACAGTTAGGAAGTTTTTTTCCTGATATTCAACCAAAATCTGGCTTCTTTTAACTTGAGCTCATTATGACATATTTTGCACTCTGGGATGACTGAGAACAGATCCTGCCCCTCCTCTGCAGGACTACCTTTCAAGGATTTAAAGGGTGCTCTCCTATCTCCTCTTAGTCTTCTTTTCTCAGGGCTAAACCATCCCAGGTCTTTCAGCCTTTCCCGGGTTAAGAGAAACCCAGTCATGCTTAAAAGCAGCTGGGGTGGTGGTAGTCATTGTGATGATTCGTGTTTTTATGTGTATTTGAATGGGATATGTAGTCCTAAGATTGTCTCAATAGCATCCATCTTGATTTAATGTCTGTCTCTGTGGTAGGAAAATTTTACATGCTGTGTCAGAGAAGCTTCGTTCTCTGGTTATCTAGTTGCTAAGGAGAGCCAGAGAGTTACATCCCTGGTAGTCAAAATAATTCTGCCACAAGACATGATAACAACTCAAGCTTCCATGAGAAAGTTAGGCGGGACAACAAGACCCAGGAGGGGGTGTTCCTGATGAGGCATGCTGGGAAGAAGAAGGAAGTTGGTAGAAGAAGGGAAAAGATGGAGTTTGACTGAGAAAGGACAGACATGTGCTTTTTCCCAAAATGGATTATAACTTTGAATGGAGCTTTTTGCCAACATGGACTTTTGGATTACAACAAGAATCTAACCTTTCCTGGACTATAGACTATGGAGTCACGGGATACGTAAGAAAAACAATGCCTATGCATAATTCTAGCTTAGTATGTTTTCTTGTGTTATTTTTCTTAGCTGGAGTTTGTGGGGTGGTCTGTCTGACTTGATATGGAAATGTTATTATCTGAAATGCTTTACTTTAAGCTGAATTCTTTTCTGAACCATATTTCTTAATAAAGCAATAATGTTTTGGAATTGCATGCATTGGTTTCTTGAACAGACTAACCTATCTAATTGGCCACGTGTATTTGCTACCACATATAGAACCCAGATTAGCCTGAGTGTAAACTCATGGATTGTCTGTGTTTGTTACTTCTTCTTAACAAAGGGGATGGACTTGAGAAAGAAGCGTTAGTCAGAGCCTGGCTGACAATTTTAGGCTCATCTTAGCCTATAAGGACTGGCTAAACTTTGGAATCTCTCCTTCTCCGGCTTCCCCTTAATCTCCTTGGAGATGGGAGATTGTTTACAGTCATTAACATCTAATCAAAGTAAAGCATGTTGAGAAAATCTGGGCAGAAAGGGATGAGCCATGATCAACAGAAACTGGAAGCCTGGACAAGTTACTTTTTTTTTTAAACTTCCCCACCCAGAATGCCCCAGCCAGTCTGGAACACATGATCCAAAACATATTATTTATTTATTTATTTATTCATTCGTTTGTTTGTTTGTTTGATTGATTGATTTATACCCCACCCATCTAGAACGAAGTCTACTCTGGGTGGCTAGAATTAAGAATGCTGGGACACATGTGCATAGAAAGGAAAAATAAATCTAGACATAGAAAGAATATATGGAGGATTCTATAGAAACACACATACACACACACACACACACACAAACAGAAAGAGAGAGAGAGAGAGAGAGAGAGACAGACTTCTTTACCATAATTAAGAGATGCATTTAGCATTTAGGTTACACTGGCTTCTAAAAGAGAAATTTCCCTCCCAGGCAGTCTGTTCAACAATGCTTAGCTGTTAAGAGCTCCTCCTAATATTTTCCTTTGTTGTGCATGCCTGTGGAAGCAGGTCTGGGATAGCTTTTCCTGGAATTGGGAAAAATATTTTGTTTCTGATAGTGAAAGATGCTTAATCTCCACTTACCGCAATCTCTGTTACTAAAATATCAGTAATACTTCCCAAGACTGTGACAAAATCAAATATGTTCCAGGCATCACGAAAATAATTCTGTAAAAAGAAGAATATTCAAAAGAATCTAGGTCATTTCTTGGTCATGGGTTGAGTGTGTCGATTTTACACCTCCATGAGCAGAACTAGAACACACGTTGCCTATTGTCGCTGCAGAGACGGGTCTATTGCGTCCTGGTTAAACCCGGCCTCAAAGAGGGGAGGCTCCGTCGACGGACTGTCCTGCTAGAACAGCTATTAGGGATATAAATTGAAGTAAAAGGGAGTCGTGCGGTCAACACAAAATGAAATACAGAAGGCAAGCGTAGGCGATACTTTTCTACACCACTTTTAAAAAATCAAAAACAGGTGAGCTTTCATGGATCAAAACACCACTTTGTCAGGCATGTACCTGTGGGCTGAAGAACTTGGAAGTCCAGACGTTCATGGCAAGATGCCTTTTGCCAGGAAAGTTACTCTTAGATGTAGATGTTAACTGTTAAAAAAACAACTCAAATGCTGACTCCATATTTCCTGACTTGCCTCTAAGAAAGACGTGCCGGGCGAAATCCATCTTGCCATGAACTTCTGGACTTTTAAGTTCTTCCTGCTGGTGGTACAAGCCTGTCAAAGAGGACGTGAACCACGAAAGCTCACGTGTTGTATGGTGATCTGTTGGGGAGTAGGAGGTTTTTTTAAATTTCTTGGACTACAAAACCCATAATTCTCCATTCTGGGAGATCTACCTTACAGGCACCCAAATGGGGCTCCGCTGGGAGAGAGGCTTAAACTCAGCTTCTTGTTCAGAAGGGAAGCTCCCAGCTAACACGGGGGCAGGAACAGGGAGCTTAGCTAGAGCCGGCCGAGGCCCTTCTCCCGGGTGAGACCCATTCCGGTTAGAATGCCTAGAATGGAGAATAATGGGATTTGTCGTCCAAAAAATGCTGTCCCTCTGGGTTCATTCTCCTCCTGTCCCTCTTCATGTAGATCCTCAGGTCAACTTAGAGGAGACCTAGTATCCTGGCTATTTTATCTCCATGCTCCACCCGGCATGGGCCCCAAAGGCCCCAGATAACGTCCCATTTCCCTCGAGCAGTAGACCAAGGCACTACAAGGCCAATCGGGTCTAGTCCTGGACGCTTTCCCCACTGGCAGCTGGTGGGAGGGGGGGAACCTTCTCCATCTGCCCTGCTTACAGCCCTGCTGTCGCGGCGGTTCAGGCCCAACTGAGCCCACGCCGCTTCAGGGAGAAACCTAAGTCACCAGGCAGCCCAAAAATCCAAAAGGAAGTTTGAGGAGGCAGAAATCTGGAAGGACCCCTTAACCTCTGAGGGAGAGGCGAACCAAGCGCGACTCGGAGAGAAGCAAAGAATGAAAGGTCGTACCAGCGCACCGAAGGCAATGATCTTCAGCACACACTCCAAGGAGAACATGGACGTGAACACGATGTTGAGGCATTTCAGCATGTTTTCGTAGGGTTCTGGGGCATCGTAGAACTAAAGAGAAGGGAACGAATAGAGGTTACTGGAGACGCGTGAAGCGCAAGCAAGCTTCCTCTTCCCTCTGTCTCTCTCCTTGATTAAATCATCAAGAACTTTACAGAGCACAATTGTGTCAGGATTCTCCAGTGACGACGGGCATTTTCCTCCCTCCCTGGTTCTCCAATGGGCCGAAAGAGTCTGTGTTTTGGTTCCCCACCACCACCAAAGAAATCTCCCCACATGTTTGTGATTTGTTTTTCCTTCTGTGTGCAATTTTATCTCCTCTATGCAAATTCTTGCCCAGGGGCCGCGGTGTGTCTGTGTGCATTTTCTCCTCGGCACACCCTTCCACTTTTAAGATTGTAGTACAGCTTAGCAGAAGCGACACCATTTTGCATTCATCTCCCCCAAATTTCATTCCATTAAGCCTTGCCGACATACAACTCCACCAGACATGGTTGCGGTTTTGATGGCAACACATCTCGGGAGAGGTGCAGAAATGTGAGTGTCCAAAGCGGTCAAATCCATTCAAGTTATTTCCCACGCTCCTCTCTCAACCTCCTTCCAAGGAAAGTGTCCATCTCCTTAAGATTCTGCCCGGGATGTTTGCTCCTTCCCGGTCGGCTCTGCACCCAACACAGGTGGGGCAAGACGAGAGAGAAGCCACTCACCTTCATCATGAGCACAATGGTGTTGAGGGCAATCATAACCATGATGAAGTACTCAAAAGGTGGCGACACCACAAACTTCCACATCTTGTACTGGAAGGACTGCTTGTTCTGAGGCATGTAGCGGGTCAGAGGCTTGGCACTGATGGCGAAATCGATGCAGGCTCTCTACGAGAAAGAGAAGCCGGAGGGTGGGATCCGCTCAAGGGCTGGCCTGGGGAAGACCAACCCCCTTCCCTTCCATGTTAAAAAACAAATCCACCCAACTGGCCATGAATATATATATATTTTTTCCCTTCAGAATTTTAGTAAAACACCTTTCCCTGCTTCGGCCAGCCTCACAGGTGATGCAAAGTCCATATAAAATGCCACGGTCTCCTCTAACATCTTGAAGTCACCTCTCAGGATCTGCCACCGAAGGCAACTAGTTCGCTGTAGCACTGTTACAGTTCTGGAAAAGACCCATCCCGCTGGGAAAGGGGGCAGGAAGCAGGAAAAGAGGAGGGTTGCCTACGAGATGGACAGACCCTCAAGGAAGCCATGGGATTGACTGTGCAGGACCTGGGCAGGGCAGCGGAGGACAGATCATTCAGAGGGTCACCGTCCATCTGAGGTCATTTCGTAACGTGTAACGACCACCACCTTATAGTACGGCTCTTCCCCATGCCTTTCCTCTCTACCCAGACAGAACAGGGAAGGAAAGGTTTCACAACCTAAGAGCGTGAAGGCGCACAAGCGTGCGCGCGCGCACACACACACACACTGCAACCTAAGAGCGTGCAGGCGCCACGCACACACACACAGAGCGCCCCAGAGAGGCGCCTTCTCTGCTCGCAGAGCGTGGTGCCAAGAGCGCCCCAGAGAGATGCCTTCTCTGCTCGCAGAGCGTGGTGCCAAAGGAAACAGAACCCCAGCATTCCCAGAACCAGAGCGTACCTCGTTTTTCTCCAGGCTACATTCCGACATCACTTTGTCCCCCTGCTCCTGAAAGGTGATGATGATCAAGGCGACAAAGATGTTCACAAAGAAGAAGGGGAAGACCACAAAATAGACCACGTAAGAGAGATGCCTTCTCTGCTCGCAGAGCGTGGTGCCAAAGGAAACAGAACCCCAGCATTCCCAGAACCAGAGCGTACCTCGTTTTTCTCCAGGCTACATTCCGACATCACTTTGTCCCCCTGCTCCTGAAAGGTGATGATGATCAAGGCGACAAAGATGTTCACAAAGAAGAAGGGGAAGACCACAAAATAGACCACGTAGAAGATGGACATCTCCATCCGGTACCCGGGGCTGGGGCCTTGGTTCTCGTCGGTCGCGTCGACCGAGTGCTTCAAAACACTGCAAGAGAGAGAAGGCGTTAAAGGAGGAAGCCACGGGCCTGGAGCAAACATCCCGGGCAGAATCGGGAGGCTGGCTTTGGAGAAAGGGTGCTGGGAACAGCCCGGCCATTTCTAACGTGGCCTTTCCACAGAATGGGTTGCCGACAGGATGTTTTGTTTTCAGGTTGCTAAAGCAGGAGACCTTCCCGTTCACTCTCTTTCTCTCGAGGTGACTCTGCTCTCCCTCCCTCCCCTCGGCTTTTCTGATGACACAAAGTGGAGAGACTCTAAAGCAACACACACACACACACAAAGGTCAAAAGAGAGGGGACCATCATGTCCCAACACATGTCCAGGGAATCCTGCTGCAGAAGATGGGGGAGGGCGGAGAGGGAATCTCTCTCTCTCTCTCGTCCCAACACGTGTCCAGGGAATCCTGCTGCAAAAGATGGGTCCCGGGGGGGAGGGGGAATCACACACACACCAAATGTGGTGCTTCTTGACGTTTCGTATTTGTTCAGCCACCATGAGGGGAAAGTGCAAACTCCCAGCTGACCAACTAACTCTCCTGTGTCCACAGCACACGGCGGGCAACGGAGGGGGATGTGCGTGTGGGTCTCTCGTGTCCAGGGAATCCTGCTGCAAAAGATGGGTCCCGGGGGGGAGGGGGAATCACACACACACCAAATGTGGTGCTTCTTGACGTTTCGTATTTGTTCAGCCACCATGAGGGGAAAGTGCAAACTCCCAGCTGACCAACTAACTCTCCTGTGTCCACAGCACACGGCGGGCAACGGAGGGGGATGTGCGTGTGGGTCTCTCGGAACATCACCCAGAGTGTGCATTTGAAGGAAATGGAAAAGATGCTCCCAGCACACTGGGAGTGAAGCGAAGGCAATAAAGTGTAGCCTTCTCCTCGACTTACTCCCCCCCACCACCTAATTCTCTGCATCCTGGATTTTGGGATGGGGGGGAACCTGTGGTCTGTATGTCCCACGAAGTTCCCAGAGACCCCCGTGTGGCCTTCCCTCCCTGACCATCTCTGGCCCCCTCTAGCCTATCCTCCAATAGGCCTTTCCCCCCCCCGAGCTCCCAAATGATCCCTTTCCTCCCTCGCTTGCCGTGTCTTCTTCACCCGTCCCTCCTCGTCTTTTCTGTCCTGAGAGGAACACAGGCGGGGACAAAGGCAGCGCACGGGGAGGGGGGGGACACACACCACCCAGACTCACGTGGGCCAGCCCTCTCCCGTGGAGACGGTGAAGAGCGTCAACAAGGCCCAGAGGACGTTGTCGTAGTGGAACTCGTACTTCTTCCATTGCCGGGGCTGAGCTTCCACTTCGTCGTTCTCGTACGACAGGTACTGGCCTCTGGAAGAAGAAGCAGCGGGCAGAAGTCAGTCCGGACAAACCCCACAGAGGTCCAGAACGTGGGCTTCTCTAGCCGTGAGGGGTCAGGGGACCAACTAGAGAGGGGACACTGTGACTCCACTCTGGGCCTCCCTCATCCCCCAGAGCCCCCCCCCAGGGGTGCACAGAAAAGCTACCCTTGCTGGAGGAAGGCCCTTTGCCCCTTACCCTCAGGGAGGGGATCCTCTCGCCAACGCAACGAAACCAACAAACAGCCATGGAGATAGTCTTCCTACAACTCCCAGAAATCCCGGCCAGTGCAGCGCATGGGAAGGCCTCCGGGAATTGCTATCTAAGAACTTCTTGGGTGGGTGGGTTCCAGGGAGACTCAGAAATCCTAAAGAGTGTGTGTTCCCTCCACACCCAGGCTACCCCTCCCCTCCCCTGCGGTTTCTCTCTCTTGAGAAGGCACTGGTTTCTCTTGTCCTCTGACCCCGTTCAATTCCAACACCTGCAGTCTTTCTCCAGATCCTTGGACTCATCGGTGCAGTAGAAGAACCGCCCTTTGAAAAGCTGCACGGCGATCACAGCAAAGATGAACATGAAGAGCATGTAAACGATCAGGATGTTGAGGACGTTCTTCAGAGAATTCACCACACAGTCAAAGACTGCCTGCAGCAGAGAGAAAGGAGAGCGCGCGCTGAGAACTCAACAGAAGGGGGAATCAGATTCTTCATCGGCCCTAGCCTGAGTCAGACATCCAACGCTGGAGGCTGTCGAGGGACAACGGGACCGCCCTCCGCTCTCTGCGACCCGCTTCGGTTTGGGTTCCTGCCTTGAGCAGGGGGTTGGGCTCGATGGCCTTTGAGGCCCCCCTTCCAGCTCCAGGATTCTGTGGTCCTCCAACGTAGTCCTTAAACACGGAAGCTGATGAGCCTCGTGGTGCAGTGGTTAAACTCACAACCTGGGGTTCAATCCCAGGTAGGCGGCTCGAGGTTCACTCAGCCTTCTATCCTTCTGAGGTCAGTAAAATGAGTCCCCAGCTCGCTGGGGGCTGGAGGCAGGAATGTGTAGCCTGCATAATTAACTTGTAAACTGCCCAGAGGGTGCTTGAAGCGCTATGGGGCGGTATATAAGCAGCACGCTTTTGCTTTGCTTTTGCCCAGGGGCACCATTGTAACACACTGCAAATAATCTAGTTATTGAGAAGGAGTTACTTTTCTTGTTAACTCCCGTGGAACAAATGTACATTTCAAAAGGCACGCGGCCCATACAAATACTCTTATGGGACAAAACCGGAGAAAGGAAAACCGGGACATGGGACAGGGATGATTTCGGAAAGAGAGCAGGGGAGGGAAAGGGCAAAGAGAGGCGCCAAGGCCCATCACCCACGCTGTCAGGCCTCCTTAGGCATGGCGACAAGATGAAGACCACCCCCTACCTTCAGTTTGGGCAGACGCTTAATGGTCTTCAGAGGCCGAAGGACCCTCAGCACCCTCAAGGACTTGATGGTGTTGATATCTTTACCTTTGTTTCCTCTGCAAGAGAAAAGCACAACAGCGACAAAGGAGGGCCTTTGGTTCTGCGAGGACTTCATCCGAAACCTGTCCTGCCCAGAAAACCTCTCCTGGTCCTCACTTAAATAAGCCGCCCCCCCCAACTGGAGGAGCCAGGCGTCTGTTCCCATGGTCCCCCGGCAGGACGCCTACTGGATGTATCCAAGGACAACCTGCCTGGGGAGGGCCAGGCACAGCGTTCAGACGCAACATCACGGCACAGCAAAACACAAGCTGGCCTTCTTTTCTGCAAGGGCGGCGCGGAAAAGAAGCAGAGAGCAACCGTCGGGAACATCCCCCCGCCCCCTGCGACACTGCAACATCTCAGACATTTTCCCAAGGTCTTCACATTTTATTGCAAACACGTATGTACACGTAGCAAGAGAGAGAGAGAGAGAGAGAGAGTCGGAAAGAGAGAATGAAAGTTTAGGCGAAGTTCTTTCTCAATAAAGAAAGACATGCAATTCCAACGGCTGCCCGATGGCTCCCACCTGCTAACATTCTGGCCAATGAATGTAAAGGTAATGGGATGATTGACAAGCATTTGGGCAAAAGAAGGCATCCATTTCTTTTCTTAACATATCTCAGTCCATCCAGTATCTTCAATTTAGGCAGCCTCCCCCCCCATGCTTTTAATTCCCCCCCCCCGCCAAATTCAGCAAGAGCCCCTTCCATGCACCTGGGTAGACGTCATTCCGTTTGAACGGGTAGCCATCTCTGCTTGCCAGCCATGCCTAGACTTTTGATGGACATCCCGTTCACAGGATGAAAGCAAGAGGGGAGATGTATCTTCAACAGGAAGGCAATCTCAACTATCAGCACCTTTTAGTCCACGGCATGATTAGGAAAGACATTTGAATGGAGCAGGAAGGGAGTCTCCCAAATGTGGGAAGGAGGCTTACCACATCTTGAGGCCATCCAAGTAGGACTCGTGGGCATCGGGACAGTGGCCTTCCCATCGTGAAGTCCAGAGACTAAGGTCCAAACCATGCATGACAGACAGCCCATCGTCAGAGCTTAAATCCATGAGCATCCCAAGGATATGAATCAGGGAGACCTTCGTGACCGAGCAATTGTAACTGCAAATGAGGTCTGTGTTTACCTCCCCATGACCAATCACAAAGCAAAGGCAGCTCCTTTGCAAGCTGGATGTGACAAGGCAGTGTGTCCCGGTGCTCAAAGGAGGCCCTCTTCTAACGGGAACAAATAATTTGGCCTTAAAATCCCCAATGTTCCCCCCCCCATTTGAAATACTTAGTGGGTGAAGACAGAAGGGAAGAAAACCTAGGATCAGATCTGAACTTTTTAAGGTAAAGGTAAAGGTTCCTCTTGACCTTTAGTCCAGTTGTGTCTGACCCTAAGACGCGGTGCTCATCCCCATCTCCAAGCCGTAGAGCCAGCGTTTGTCCGAAGACAGTTTCCGTGGTCACGTGGCCAGTGCAACTAGACACGGAACGCCATTACCTTCCCACTGAGGTGGTCCCTATTTATCTACTTGCATTTTGCATGCTTTCGAACCACTAGGTTGGCGGGAGCTGGGACAAGCGACAGGCACTCCCTCCCTCACGTGGATTCGATCTTACAGCTGAAGATCTATAGACCTGACAGCAAGAGGCTTCTGCGGTTTAACCCGCAGTGCCCTTAGAGAGATGTCCCACTGGGGACTCCCACCCTCAAAGATTGAACCTCAGCTGGGAGGTAGGGAAACTGCCCACTACATATGTCCAGGAAGTGGAGGACAACGGCAACCTGGTGCTCTTCAAATGTTGACTATGACTCCCATGGGGAGCATTGGGAACGCTGGGGATGATGAGACATATAGTTCACTCCGTTGGCTCAAGTGGGAAGCATAGTAGTATCATCTGTTGCTTGGTCTTCCATGGTGCCACTAGTTTCCCCTTAAAATGACGTGGCCTTTCCAACACAGAGTTAAACCATCTCCAAGGCGGCCAAAGGCCTGCAGTGACAAATGTGGCTTTGGCCTCTAGGTTCTTTGTTCACACGGATAACCTTGAGAAATCAGTGAGATGGGGGCAAGTAAAGAGTGAGACATTTCTACTTCATCTGAAGCAGAAGTGGTTCACTTCCAAAGCAAAAGACTTGAAACACACAGACACACACAAGAGAGAGAAGGAGCCTGACATCAAGAACAGTAAATGGGGGAAAGGGGGGCAGTTTAGCTTCCCTTGATCATCCCCCCGTTCAAACGGGATGCCTTCTACTTTAACACATATCCCATTTACCCTTTGTGAATAAGCGCCTGTCTGTCTGTCATGTAGGCTTTTTGCTGGAGCAGAGCCTTGTCGTGACAGGCGAGGCCAGTGTGGGCTCCTTATCGGTCAGAAAGGACACGCTAGCTAGCTAATCGGTGCAATCTGTCAGTGAGTCAAGAAGACCTCACAGTTCAGCCTCTCTCACTGTCCGCCGGAGGATAAAACAGAACACAGACTCCTCTCTAGCAAACCTCAAGAGATGACAATTCTCTCTTTAGAAAGGGGGGGGGA